TACCCTGTGCCATCTCTACCTGCGGCGCCGTCATCAGATGATGTAAACACAGATCTTTCGGGACTGCTTTCTCAGTTTGTTCGCCTCTCTTCGTCTGCACGGAAGACAGATATCCCTCAGATTGTGATTGGGGAAGAAGCGCAGGACGCTGCAGCTCCATGGAGTCGTACTGCTGCAGAACGCGCAAGCACGGAGGCCGCACTCTTACCGTTTCTTGTACATCTTGCTGTCGCGCGGGATGACATCGAGGGACTTGAGTTCTGCCTTACCTCAGCAGGTACAACCTCGTGTTCCGGTGTGACTGAGGGAACGGCAGAGGTCGTCGTCCCAGGAGGTATGGTAAATTGTTTGGACCCAGGGAGCGGACGGAGTCCTTTACATGTCGCCGCATCAAATGGGAATATAAGATGTGTCGAGAAATTACTAGAGAGTGGTGCTTTGGTGCATCTCAGGGACGAATTGGGACACACTGCCTTATATTATGTGAGTGTTGCGTGATTTTAGTGTGGGTTCAGGTGGCTGAGGTTGGTAGGCTGGCGCCAGGGTCATGGTGACATTGTCGATACGCTTGTGAGCGCAGGCGCGAATCTTGGGGGCATGGAGAATGAGGCAGGTTATGTGGGGCTTGCGGTGCAGAATGCTGTTCATGCTGGAAATGAAGCTACGGTGGACATTTGGAGACGGGCTGGCGTGAAACTTGCGGATTAGTTATTAGTTGTCTCTGCAGCCTTGTGACCACGGCGAGTTTCATACCGTTAGCGTTATGTACAAAGTACAGTCGTGTAATATTGGAGAAAATAAATTTGATGATACCGCCACGGATCTGCGGATCCAGTTAGATCTCAGTGCGAAGCCAGCATCGTGAATTGCCGCACTAACTCTAAGTACAGCAGAGCTCAAAACCATTTTGTCCTTCATGTATACTGCAATGGTTCCATCGTTCCGACTCCCGTCCACGACTTCGGAGCTTCGCTGAATGTCACGATACACGTGACCGACGCGTCGTGGGATCATGTTTATTTTTATTTGTCTTTAAGAGGATAGCACGCCTCGTGTTCCCCACAAAAGGGTGTTTCACACCTTTCACTTTTCCCCAGGACCGGCCAGTCCGCCTTATATAAAGGTTTGGGTTCCGCTGGCAAAAAGATCGGGTTGACCTTCTCTTCTCTTTATTTCGTCTTACAGTTGGTCATCGCTGGAAGATTCTAACCTCTCTCTCATTTGACCTTTATCTACTGCAGACTACTTTCGCGTAACGATCGGATCAGATCACTGATTCGCGGTTGAATTTCGGGTTTCGAGTCAAGTTCGAGAAAATTAGCGTCATGGCTTTAACGATAGCAGCACATCCAATACTAGTCAGGACCACGCATCGCGCGTAACACGGGCGGGATCCGTTCTCGTTGACGCAACCAACTTGCACCGTCGTATCAGGTCTTCACCATCGACGAAGCACTATAACCTTCTTTTCCCGCTCTCCTCCCGCCCCTGCAAAGCCCCACCCACCCTTTCTCTTTCAGCGACATGCGCTAGCTCCTCGCAGTCGCAAGCGCTCCTACCATCTCCCCTCGATCTACCAGACGTCCGGAGTGTCATACCCTTCCCTTCCACGTTATCCGCAGATGATGTCGCAAGCCTAATGGATGTCAATATGTTCGATGGGACAACCGATAGCGTTGATTCGCAGTCTTTCCCATCAGCTCCGTTTTCATCTTGTAATGGCACCGCCTCCCCGTGCTCTGCGCAGGTTCGACTTCGCAAACGGCGTTCCCAAGCTATCGCCACGCTCTCCCAGCCAACAAGTCTCAGACGGGATAAAAAGGCCAAGTCAAGGGAGAATAGCAGGTCCGGGGTGCAGATGCGACTGTGCGCAAGCGGTCTCGTAAGAGTTGGCGCCAAGTCGCGGACTTGATGTTCCTCGCCACCGTCCATCGCAGCCTCGTATCGAACTGCAGTACAGATCCGTGGGACTGCGTTCGCGGGGAGGATGTTGCGCCAGTAGATGCACAGACCCTTGAGGGGCAGGATGTGCTGCTGGCGCGCAGGATCCAGGACACGACTGATCGAATATGGATGGTCATTGGTAACCGATGGCATCCAGGAGGTGCCTCGCGATAATGATACATCCATTCCTCCTTGCGCGCAAGAAGAGTCATCTCGATCTAGACACTCCGAGGCAGTCCTCAGCCTCCGTAGCCTATCATCTGACACGCCCTCGCCACGATCATCCCCACCGCCCACAAGCGCCCCCATACCCTCTGTCCTCACTATGCCTCAACTCGTTGCCACACTGACGATGCGATACAATGACCGATGTAGCACGCGTTCGCGCTCGAGCTGGAAAGCTCGCCGTGCTGATTTGTCTTCTGGCCATTTCGTCGAGCGGAAGTCATCCCTGTCTGTGGCTTGTAGCTAGCAGACTTGTGCGTGCTGGCTTCCCTACTCTGACAAGGCAGAGATTGAATCTTTGCTGCCAGGTTTCGTATCTTGCCGCCGACGCGTCATATATCTTCGCCGCGGCCACGACGCATCGTAACCTTGCCACGATGCCTCACCATTGCCACGAGGCTTCATATATTTGTCACGAGGCATTCGTCTTTTTTTATGTATTTTCACGACGTTTAACGGGCGATACGACATGTCATACTGTGTATTGATAGTCATTTAATTCTTCGGGCGGAACACGGTTGAGTACGTGTGCCCGCTAATTTGTGTTCTTGCTTGCGAGATCTACGTAGTACTGTGCAACTCAGCGTATTGACGATGTTATGATTCAGTTAATTGCGACTACATTGGTCAAATTTCAAATGCGAGATGGTCCTATGTTCGTGGGATGTGTGCGCAATCAATATCGTCGAACGCATGGTTTTGGATTCGCAATGCTCGTGTATGTACAAGCGCTCGGTGGCACCTAGTATGTACCCCAAGTCCTTTGTTCTTTGTCTGGGTTATTATGTAAATGGCGACACTCTCAGCAAGTACTACTCCATCAACTAAGAACTCACTCTACTTGTTTCCGATATCCTCCTGTACATATTCACACATGTGAATCGAATACCACCTATTGCCAATAATTCATTGTCTCCGAATCGGAAATCCCTTGCATCGCTTGCGGCAACATGCGAAGCCTTCCACGAGCCCGCGATGGATTTGCTGTGGGCTGATGTATATGGGTTAGAGCCACTGTTGGGCTGTGTAACGAGGTTACATTCACTGGTATTTCGTGCATCGGTGAGTGTAGATCATTCTTGTTCTGTTTACTTTTTTCCGTTCATCGGCTGACCGACCATGATATCTACTGAATAGCGGGACTGGGACCCTTGGGCAGCAGGCGTCGAACCATTATCGATTATCGATTATCTGCCGACGATGTCCGTCAATGCTTGCGTCACTCCGCACGTATTTGTTCATTGACCATATTATCCACTGACAACCGCCTTGTCCCGCTTCTCTCGGTTATCCCCGTCGATGTATGCGTCTTCCCAAGGCTGCAGTGGTTGTCTCTTCCCAGTTCCAAATATTCCTGTCCCACACCCTGCGCAGTTGTTCTGTATTTTCTAGCAATGCAAATCATGCGATTCGTGGTACCGCTTTGTTAAACTCATCCATCAAAACAAAATTCTTGACAAGAGCACAGCAGATCGACTGTCCCTGCTGTCTGACCGTGTCCGCAGCTTCTAACTCTGTCTTGTCCACCTCTCGACTGAGTAGTATGGAAGCACCTTTCCAACCTCCGTACCCTAGTGGAAATCGAAGTTTGTGACGGTTGTCGCGCCCTTCCTTGGCCGTCGTTCTCTTTCCTTCTTTGTAGACAGTGCTGCATACGCGACCGCCATCCTGCAACACCTACAATTTCCCTCGTTGAAAAGTTCCTGGATCGATATGGACGCTTTGACTTCGACAGGGGCTGAGCGACTCTTTCGTGCGCTGTCCCACTTCAAACAGACCCTGGAACAACTCACTATAATATTTGAGGTATATCGCGACCCCCAACGCAAGGCTTTAACAGCAACTCCACATGTCCTTTCCTTCACACAGCTCCGGAGTCTGCGACTCTGTAGCTATGATTCCGGGACCTGCATCTATCTTGACAACAACCTTCTTCTGGAAGCCATGTCCGCTTGGCCGCACATCCACACCCTGAAAATAGAAGACTGCGGCATCCGTCCTTCCGTTACGTTCCACGGATTATTCACCGCAATCCGACGATGTCCTCGGTTGGAATCGCTGCGACTATCTATTGACACCTTGAATATCGACATGGATCCTGTTGCTGAGTCAATACAGCATACCTCCTTACAAACATTGCACATGGAAACATCCGGGTCTCACATAGGAAATGCGGAAGTTATCGCTCGCATCGTTTTCAATTGGCTTCCTTGCGTCGACCAAGTCAACAAGGGCGTGGATGATTGGGCGCCTTGGTATGAAATCAATGAACGTCTCATATCATCGAGAGCCGCTGCGCTACATGCCACAGGAGCCGCCTCGAATACCTGTATTCAATGGGATGTATTCACATTTGGGGAACATCTGGAGTTGCCACATTTATTCGTGTTCGTTCGTGTCGGTATGGTGGTTTTAACTATGGTTGCAATTGTTTTCTCCCCTCTCACTGCCGAATTGATGCATTACATGGGTTTTCACGCCTTTCTGTTGTGGTCATCCCCACCCACTCGTATTAATCACTCAATTCATGGAAAGTTACCGAACGGATCCACAGCTTTGTCCACATATCATTAAGTACATTTATCCGCGAACAGCTCCGAGTTGAATATGTTCCCACTTGCATGCCCTTCGATTGGATGGTCCAGTCGAGTCACCTCCCGAAGTTGTTGCTTGCATTGCTGTCTCCAGACTCTGACCTCTTACGTTGACAAAGTTTGACATCTCCCTCCGAACGCGTCACGGTAGTCTGAAGTGAACAAAGTCGGGATGGCTTCAGCAGGAGCCCAAGTCTTAGGAACCATCGATGTACCAATCATCTACTGAGCTAGGTGGTGCTATGCTATTCGTGATTGATCAAATATTGCGTCAAGCTTTAAATTTTGTCGAGACCGGACTCTTACCCACTCCCAGATGTGCACACACTAACAATAATATTAATATTCGGGCACCTGTAACAACTTGAAGCAAGATCATAGTGTTCTGTGACATGTGGTATGCGTTCCTGCTTCGAATTCAAGTGAAACGTATGATTAGAATCAACTGAAATTCCACCATCGACAACAAACATCAGTAAACACCGTGGGAGCCTTGAGGCGTACTACGCGACGGTGTTGTCAGTAGGACTGTTCGTAGTACAAGTTCGTACCCTCAACCTCACTGCCCTTGTCGCCGCTCCGCTCAGCGAACCAATTTGAATCGTCGCCAGCTCAAAGCCATGGATTCGATGATGAAACGCATCGGTGGTCCGTGGTCATTCAAACCTGGATACACCAGCCAGCGCCAACGCTATCGAGGCGTTAGGAGTCCACGATCGCACTCGGAAGTTACATTCAATGTCCAAAGCCAAGCCCTCCAAGAATAACTGATAACGAACCTCGTTGCACCCATGCGGCATCGATAGCGAAGAAGCTTTCAAGAATAGGTAGGATCAAGCTGCTACTTGCTTGGATCCGGGATCAATCGTTTCATCCTCATCAGCAGGCGTTAATTATCACTCAAGATGGAGTGTTCTGGCCCCTTTATGTTTGAAATTCTGCGATAGGATTTGGCTGGGGAGCAGATATGGGATATTCGAAGTGTTGTTGGATGTGTGTCGTCTGCGCTATTAGTGCTCTCTGTACCTCAGATGGCGTTTGAGCGTTCTGCAGGTTA